TCATCATTATGATTTCATTTAGATTAAATCAAAAAATCTGAAACCAAATAAATATGCAAAAAATTTAAAGAGGAACAAGATGTACATGACTTTAATTGTATGGTACTTACTGTCAAAAATTGTGATGTAGGTAGAACTGGCAGAAGGGAACAGAAATAAAATATTATTAAAAAAACAACAACACAAACATCTGTATTAAATCTTGTAAGTGACACATGTTCCAGCTGAGCTTGAGTTGTTATGGAGTAACTTTGGCTGATAATCTTTTTCCTTTCTCAAAAAAAAACCCAATCATGGTAAAAAAGTGTTAAATAATTTTTAGAAAAAAGGAGTCAAACAATGAGAGAAAATATAAGAGATAGAGATTAACAGACTTTGATATGATCTCACATAACCTTAACTTGCAGCTGCTGGAATTTCCAGTACAGATGCTGCCAAGGTCCAAGATCCTTTAATAATTGAAGGTATTTTTACATACAAAACATTTATTCCTGTTAATGTATATGCAAATGTTCATGTATCTTTTATATTTATAACACAGCTGGTAAAAAAATAATTTTGATGCAAAAAGTGCATGTAACAGTAATGTTCTGTATTACAAATCTGTTACTGTATACAAGACTCCCTAACATTTAAAGATATTAGTAACTTTTGAGCTTAAAATTAACTATTCAACTTGTAATATTTATATTAAATGTTTATATGTGTTTTGGTTACAGTTAATAAAATGTATGTATGCACGATACCGTTTATATTATTGTGTACCTCTTCATTCTAAGTCTACGTTACAGCATAGAGTGTGAATTTCATCTCATGTTTCTCGACACAATCATATTGCATCTTAATACAGGATATCATCACTTAATACCTGCAGGTTAACACCTCCTTTTCTGATGGACTTCTAAACAAAGGTAACCTTAAACATCATAAAATAATCATAGAACAGGTAAATGATGTGTTGTTGTAGAACTATGGTATTCAAGTAAACTGGTGTCCAATATATAAGTATATGCAACAAATAAAGTTGCAGAGATGTTATGCATGCATATATCAAAATTAACTCAAGAGGGCAAAGGGTTTGTTTGTTTGTTTTTTTAATTATGCACAAAGCTACACAAGGGCTATCCGTGCTCTGCCCACCACGGGTATCGAAACCTGGTTTCTAGTGTTGTAAGTCCACAGACATATCGCTGTGCCACTGGGGGGCGAGGGCAAAGGAAAAAAGAACCTTGCAAAAATGAACAAAATATTTATTTACAGATAAAAGTACGTTGGGTTTTACTTATTATTAGTCAACTTTTTTATTTATTACTAATTGAAACTGGTTGTTGGAGCATACACTCACAACACAAAGAAAGAATAATAATAACACCACTGTTAAATTCTACTGTAGTCCAAGTGTGGGATCTCACAAGCCTTAAATTACTTACATCAATGATCATTCCCATTATACATAGTCAAGAGCGATAAACTCCCAACTCATACTAACTTGTACAAGTTTCTTTACTGTCCTTGAAATGTGTATGACCTCAATCCAGTAGGACATGACAGATAAACAGGTCTAAGTATAAACTTTGTAGAAAAATTACTGTGGTATGTAAATTTTGTCTAAGCCAGAGGACTGGTACAAATTTATGACTTTCATATATTCACTTTACAAGGTTGTTACTAACAACATGCAGAATACCTGCTCAAAAAGTTTGAAAAATAAACTTTCATCAAAAATATTCTTTACTAGTTTTTTCAACTACAACAGATTTTTTTAACTCACCTTAAATGACTTATTGTGGGATTTCTTGAAAGACTAAGTAATTGCTACACAGTAAATTAATATAAAAATTTTATGGTCAAAACTCACAACCATATATCACACTCTTTCTACTCAAATGTTTAAAAATGTCTTCAGTTAATGAACTTGCTATGGAGGTATGTTTTTATCTTCTTAAACAGTCTATTATTAAAATAAAGTTAACAATCTTTACTGAAAGTAAAGATCTTACTCCTGTATATACAAGAAAAGATGTATAGCCTGTAAAAATCAAATGATTAGGAACTTACTTCAGTAGAAAATCCTTCGACCAAAATTGCTACAAGAAGATTGAAGAGGACATAGTTTCCAAATGTCATCAAAGCCACAAAATACAGGGCAGCCCAATGAGAAGTTTTTTCCATGCCATTAAAAAGGACGACATTCCAATCTTCTTGAGTAAGAATCTGAAAGTTCACATTTTTTTTTATGAAGCACATGAAGACCATGCTGTACAATTTAGTCTAGTATTAAAGTAAAAATATATTTTTTAAAGTATTGTATCTGACTAGGTTGGCTACTTGTACAACACAACAATACAGCACAGATGTAATGTATGTTTTAAATTTATTTCAATGAACATAATCATTAAAACGTATTTGTATTTCACTGACTTTCACACAAATTCAATTGTAGTTCAAAAAATAAAACATACCATATGTACTTAAAATAGGTTTGCTCCCAGAAACTGGCAATTTAAGATAATGTGCACTAATATTTAATTACAAATGCAAAAAGACATAGCACATTCAACATCGCTACACGTAAACTTTAGGTAAACTGGACTTTCTATAAGTGAAGAAGAAAGATTATATAAGTTAATTCTTGCTTTAAAATGTCTACAAAAATTATATGATGAGCAAAAAATCAGGTTACAAATAAAACAGAGGAATAACTGGCTTCTAAATTTGTCTTATTTATGGCTGAATTTTATACTTGTGTACTTGAAGCTACATTTTTTTGTATGAAGAAAAACACTATATTGTTAAATATTTGGTATTTAGTCAAAAACTACAAAACAACATTCCTTTTATTACTTCCCCCACTCAGTTCTTCAGTAAGCCTATTTAAATTCCAGCCTCCCCCCCCCCTCAGGTCATTAGTAGGCTCATTTGGACCACAACCTCATAGGTTTTCAATGGGACCATATGGAACCTCCCCTCCTCTCAGTTCATCAATGGGCTCATTTGGACCCCAACCTCATAGGTTATCAGTGGGACCATTTGGATCCCAAATTTATAGCAACTGCAAACTGCTTTTTTTAACCTGGCAGTAAATATTAATTTATTTCACTATCGTATACCACTTTTTTTATATGCTGGAAAGATGGTGTATATTTATCAGACATAGTTATATGTTGGAGTCACTTCAGACCTTGAGATGGTACTTCTTTCCAAACTATGACTGAACAATGACAACTACAGATTACAAATTTGTTGAGTTTAAAAGTATGAGGATAAACATATTGTTTTCATTAATCTATTGCCAAAAAGGTTTTGTCGACTCATTTTCTGATGAGGGAGAAAATTAGTTTATCTTATTTTAAGCTATTGGTAAAAACGAATCAGTTCTACATAAAATAAAACCACATTTAGTTACTAAAAATATGTTATATATATTCTTGTCAAAAATAATTCCCAAAAATTATCGGCTACACTTAATACATTTTGCAAATGAACTGTTAAGTTTAAAGGTTAAATCCATCCCATGCCTAGATGGTATATAAGAGTAGGTGCTTAACCCTAGTTTAAACGGCACAATGGGATAAGAATGGCGATACCTTCACTTTGGAAGGAATACAGGTCCTTCCGAGTTACACCTTCAGTCATCAGCTGGTGTCTATTTTACAGTTTGATAGATTGAAGCAACTGGGGTAACGTTTCTTGCCAAGGTAAGAAACAGCAAAATGAGCTGTATTTATTTTATTTTCACATGATTTA